GTCGACCAACGACAACTTCGTCGTTTACTTCGAACAAATCTCTGTTATATCTTTCAAATAATTGCTAGATAAATTATTATAAGGTAATTAAACGAAAAAAAGAAATCAATATATACGAAACATATCGAAGAATATGTATTGGAATTCTAATGTTGGTTTTAGTATTTAAAATCAATGCGTATTATTACACATTAAAATTACTAAACATTATGGATCGATTATCCAAAGTGACCTGTTCGTTTCAGCTTCGACGATAATTGTACAAGCACGAGTTAACGTTGTTGCAAAAACGCAGGGAGTTAATAAAAGTATCGACGATTGAATAATCGCGATGTAACGTTTAATTACGTTGTTAACTCATTTCCTTCGAAAATCATTCGATCAGCCAGATAACGTATTACGTTGACAAACACAGCGGCGATTAGTGGGACGTTATACGCCAATGGTGATACAGGCAAGCCTGCAGTCTGTTTAAACCCATTGGCGTAGTGGCTCTTCGCGTTTCACAGCCTTGTATACACGGGGATCGTAAAATCGTGGCCGTACGATTTATGATTTACAGGTTGACAAATCGCGTCTGGCAATTGGCCTGTGCTTTCCTTCTTTTCACGATACCGATGTTGTTTTCGTTGCGCAAATCTTTCACTCCTGCGCTTTTGTTTATTTGAAGTTTTAGACGAATTCAGAGTTGGGTACAATTCTTGGCTAAATTGAATGACGAATGAAAGAAAAACGCTTGTATTTTTAGTAATATTTGAACCGATTGAATTGATATGAATACAAGTACAACAACGTCATTGGTAGATCGAATAAACGAGGCGACTAAGTCGTTAAACATTGGTTTTATTCGCAGTGGTACGACGATGACTGTGTAATTTGTCTACCTCGACTGAAATAGAATTTTCTAATGACCGAGAAGCAATAAAGTTCATGTTTATTGATATTTCTGTAGGATTGGAATACAGTATGAAATTTATATTCATCGTGGCTCTCATAAAATGAAAAACCAGACAGTTTTTCTCTGTGCAATTCCATTTGCATTCGATTGGATTCAGCTACATTGGAAGAGGATCGGGAACAAAAATTCTGCCACGGTCGGTTTGGTCAATTTTTTTGCCGGCCTAAAGTTCGAATATAAATTAATAAATGGTTTAATTTGAAATCGAACGGGGCTATCGCTTTGTTTGCGACTCCCTCGATTTTATCGTTAACACTTTTGTTGTTTCGAATAATTTAAACGAATGGAAATTTTAAATTTTCCATTACGAAATATTTTTCATTCTGTTACTCCGATTTCAGTTTTTATTCGACATTCGGTGGGAGGACAGTTTATTTGTCTTTTATTCGTTATTCGAAATTGTTACGTGAATTGTTGCCACGTTTGGAAAAATCGGGGAAAGGTGAAAAGTGTGCAGCCACCGATGCAGCCGCCTATGGATCGTCCTTGGCAGTTTGCCGCGCAGAGAAATAATTGTCCCCGAACGCTTGAACCCACGCTCTCCATCGTGGACAGTATTTCTCCCGTCAGCTCGGAGTGGGTTTCGCAATAATAGGAAAAAAGGTGACCCTCGCTATTCAGGCCCAAAGCGGTTATTTCTCACTATAATTTAATAACGGCTTGTATTTTGATAACGTTATTATTTCATGCCATTCCGAAAGCGAAGGACTGCTTTTCAACAATTTACACGCGTCCAATTAATTCGAAGGAAACAACACCAGTGAATGCTTAACAAAGGATAGTTGCATCTAAAATGCGTTTCAACTTGTTGTTACCATTGCAATTAACGGCGACTACATCTGAGATTGAAAGTATCCTAACTAATCGATAAATTATTTTATTAATTAAAAAAAATTTTGAATTAAAACAAAATCGGATGGTCATTCAAATTATTATTATTGTTTGTCAAAAAATTAGTGTCAAGGAAAAATTAGTGTCAACACATACCTGAATTGTTACAATTATCCTATACTTTCAGCCTAATTAATATAGTAACATAATATTAACGCTAATAATATAGTATATATAATAATATAGTAAAATAATATTATACTATATATATAAGTATACTATATATATATAGTATACTTATATATATAGTATAATATTATTATATATACTATACAATATTATACTATATATATATATATATATACTATATATATATAGTATAATATTGTATGTATAGTAGTATGTATAGTATATATAATAATATAGTAAAATAATATTAACGCTAGAAACAATTTCATTGTTCGACGATGTATTTATCAATTCACTTTGCATAGTGTTTATTTACGTTATTTTATTCTACGTCTTTCTAAAAAATAATTTCCTATGACGACGATTACGTGGCCGAGATAACGCAACGATGAATCATTCCGTGTTGCATATTTATGTGAAATGCACTTCGGTAATACGCAGTGTTGACATTCATGCGTGAAGCGATTTACAGGGAATAAATTCCACTGTACAAAGCTGCGAGTTACATGGAAGAAACCCTAGGAGGAAAAAAAAAATCACGGAATGACCCGTGTCTAAAGCAGTCTCTGCTAGATGGCCTTACCGACGAGTTCAGTATGTGTCAGGTCCAGGATGAAACACACAACTCCGCCGACCCTTTCTTCCATCTCGTCGTCCAGCTCTTTCTCTAAGTCAGCGTTTCTCAAACTGGAGCCCTCCAAAGGAAAAAGAAAAGATATTGTATCGTGAAACAAGAAAAAAAAAATGGTTCTTGCAATATGAAATGTTCGATGAAGAGGTCTTCGAAACTGATAAACAAAGAAATTACCGTATCTTCGTGAAGTTTTGTTTCAAATTCGTTTAGTTTAAATAATTCTAAATAAATTCAAACGATCGTTGTTTCTACTTTATGGGCTCCAGCAAGAATTTTCTTTTGTTTGGGGGATTCCCGCGGAGGGCGGAGTTTGAGAAGCGCTGCTCTATATTATCACGTTACAGCCGCCAAAGCCAATGAAAAAAACGTTCGAACGGCTTTCAACCTTCCAACGGTCTCGTCACATGGGTGGTCGCGCGCGCGCGTCACTTCTTGCAATGCGCGCTCGTGTTTACTCGAATGTTATAAATTCAAACCCCTGGCTTGCCGTAAATATTTATGATACGCACGAGCCACGGGCGGTAATGGGATGTACGCGACGAAACATGATCGAAATACAACAAATCTCTGTAATTGTAATTATCCTGGTTAATGCTTTTGTTGGAGAAAAATCTTACCACTCGTACTAATCATTTTATTTACTTATTTATTTAACGTTTTCGATTTTCTTTCTTTT